AAAGCAACAGTTGAGACCCTTGGAACGTCCCTGCTGTGTTTGGTGATACTGGTATTTTCCAGCCTGAAATACTTCTTGTTCTTCCTGAAAGTTTTGGAAGCTCATGACATTTGCTTCATTGTCTGCCAAATTAGCAGTAGGTCTGGCAGTAGAGTTCCAACCAGTAAACAGTCAACTTGTTGCATCTAAACGGCAGTATAACATTTATTTTATCTTCATAACAGCTGTTTTGATTTTTTTTTTAATGTCACTATATATTGAATATTATCTCATAAGATTTTAAAGGAGGGTTTTTTTTTGTGGCAGAACTCTTACAGTACTTCTGAGTTTTGGCTTGGAAAGTAGTTTCTAACTTTTTAAAAATGAATTTTGGATATGCTGGTGTCTTTTCTTTGCCTGATTGACATGGCAGAGCCCACACGCATATCTCCTTATCTTGCTGTAGGTTTACTCAAGTGGCTTGTGGAGTAGTGTCTTGTGATTACTAGAAAACAGAAAAGGTCTGTTTGTAACAAAAGAGCAGTTTAGACCTTTAGCTGGTGTTGCTTCATCACTCTTTCTTCATCACATCCCCGAAGAAATAATGGAATAAAATTCCAGCCATCACCAGTCTTCTCCTTCCCACAAGCATGCGCGTGATGGTCTGCAGGAGAACCACTGCCGCAGGTGGGCTTCCGAAAAACAGGGCTTGCACCAGTGCAGCTACATGTCCCGTACGTGTCTGTGCCTTAGAAGCCTCTGCCCGTGTGTCTGGAGATGGAGCAGGAAAAGAGGAAATTGCCAACACAGTTGTTACTCTGAATGTTACAAATCCCTGTACAAGACACATAAGTAAGGAGACCAACTAGTATTAGGAAAGCGGGTGATCCTCGTAACGACTGAGACTGTATGTGCTGTTTGTTGTTGCCTTTCAGTATTCACTGCGTTTTGCTCTAGAAAGGGGAATAAAAAAATTACTGAAGAGGAGACGTTTTTGAATGCATGAAGTACAGAACCTTTGCAGAGATTTTTTTTTTTTCCCCCTCATTTGAAAAATTTCAAATGGCTTCTTCAGTATTGTGAAACCAAAGGACTTGTCTTTGTCAACCCAAAGCCCAGTGTACGCATCTTACTTAGGCAAATGTGATGAAAGTGTTAATAAAAAGATAAATTTAATGCACATGTTGTCAGTCTTATTCATCCTCGTGACTTTCCTGCCTATCTGTCCCCTGTCTATGTAGGCTTTTTTTTATTTTTTTTTTTAATTTGGGCTACTATTTCATATCTCTAACCTTGGAGATGCTCAAAAGCCGTGTGGGGATAGTCCTGGGCAGCCAGCCCTGGGTGGCCCTGTTTGAGCTTGGGGGCTGCTCTCCAGCCTCAGCCATTCTGTGGCACTGTGAGTGTCACCCAGGCTGTAAAGCCTATGGAAGTCTCCCTGCTTTTGGTGGCTAATACAGGTAGGAACTTTACTGCTTGTACTTTTGGGGATTTATTTTAACCTTAATAAGAAAAGAAGGCCTTCCTATCCTCACCAGTCAGGTGGGGAAGAACTATTGATGTCATTGTCTTGAAATAATAATTTTAAAATGCTATGTTTCCTACTGTTTTCCCAGTGTTTTAGTAAAGGGTAGTGACGTAAAAGAAAGAACTTAGAGACATTTGGGAATTGTGCAATTAGCTTTTTTTAATTTTTAGTTCCCTCACAAACTCATTATGCGCAGGCACAACTTCCATTGTGACAGAAACAGTCATGAAAATAGGATGCAAAATAAAGCCTTATATATGAATCTGCAAATGAGCTTTACATTTATTAATCATTCGTGGTTCCTTCATTTCCAGAAGCTTGCAAGTATGCTGCCATAACCAAATCTGATGAATGTTCATTAAATACAGTGAGAAGCAGTTAATGTATTGCACCAGATGCTTCCAAGACCATCTCTGAGGCGGCGGTGAGGGTATCTGCTGCCCCTTTGCTGTGCCACTGCCGGACTCCTGTCTCCTAGGAGTTTAACTGACAAAGTGCATTACTTCTGTTCTTCCTTAATCTTTTGTTGGAAAATTTTCACAAAGTTGAAGTATGGCACGTACAACTAACATAAACGCTGTTTTCATTCTGTTTGGTGAGCACCGTGTTTTCAGTCTTCCAACAGCATATTGAGACACAGTTTGGTTTCTTGCAGAGACAGCAGTTGAGATGTTGTTTGTCTCATTTAGTATAATTTGGGTCCCTTCTTTTCTGGGGAAGCAAACAGCAGGGGGAAAAGCACCATAAGGATGTAAGCTCGTATAGTCGTCGTCTGTAGTGAAACAATCTGTGTCTTCTCACGCAGTCCAAAGTTCTTGAGTTAGTGCCCGTGAACTTTGCCTGTCCAGTGCAATGGCTGCCCATTGATGTATAATGGGATGAAAGCTGGCAAAGAGTAAAGGGCTTTTGCTTACTTGAAGGTTTCTGCAGGCACACAATAAAGCAGAGTTCCTTTTGCAAAGTTTAACTAGGTTAAATAAAGTCGCCAAGATGGATCAGACCACCATTTCTGGTGGTCTTCCTTGAGCACTCCATGCATGGTTGTCCTGGGCTGTGCTGTGGGTTTTGTTTGTACTGATTTGGCATCTGCCTGTCTTGCAGGTGTGTTTGTTTTGTGTTCTTCATTGAGGCTGTATTTAGAAATTTCGGGGTTACTTGCGCAAAATTATCCTTCAGATCCAACATACTTTGGAAACTCACTATGGACTGTTATGAATGGCTCCACGGGATGCTGCCCGTTTAGGAATCCTCATCCAGGAAAGATTGCAGAAATTGTTTGTTCAGATGTGCCAAAAACTAAGGGTGTGGGGTTTGGGTTGGTTTTGTTTTGCTTTTTGCTATTTTTTTTTTTCTGTATGGAGCCATTTACTATTACAAGGGATGCATTCCCAACAGGATCTTTACTTAGTGGCAAATGATTGTCCAGCATTTTTTTTTTTTTTTCCTCGGACAGGTTGGTGGACTGGGTTTAACAGGAGCCATTTGGCTTTCGGACAGGTAGTCCGAAAACTAGTCGGTTTTGGATGTTTCAGGTGTCCAAAAACATTTCAGATGTATGTTACTGAGTAGCTGAACTGAAATAGGTGAAGCAATTCCAGTTTACACCAGCTCAAATAAATATCTGGCACACCCAGTCATGAATAGGAATTTCTTACTCTTTTTTTTTCTTAATTTTGTGTTTCTCTTCAGTATGTTTTAGATACCTTCACTGATGGTTTTAAATGTTATACGTTGTCTTCCTAAATGAGTTCACTCCAGGTTAAAGAATAATTTTACTTCAATCTCGGTACGTCAAACAAGAAAGATTTCCCCTTCTTGATGTGCCCTAGCGGGCGTATTACTTCAGTATTACAGACCAAGCTGTGCAGTTTTATGTTCTGAGGATTTTCCTCTCTTTTATTGTTCTTATAAATAAGATTAAAGCTTGTAGCAGGTTTTTGTGCATGCCTACCCATGTCGCAGATTCTTCTACCCATCTATTTCTCCACTTGAGTCATTTGTCCTTTGCAATATTTGATTATATTTTGACATGTGTATTTTTTTTAAAAAAAAAAAGTTCATGTATCTTGTGCTTTAATCTTCTGAATAATCTGTTGCTTTACACTAGCTGGCTTTCTTTGAAAGAGCTGTATGTATTGGTCTCTTAGCTGAAACGCAGGTTCACTGGAAGCTTAAGGTGGTGTGCTGGACGGTGGCTGGACCCAGGTCCCTGGTCTGGCCCTGCTGTGGGGACAGATGTAGCAGCCACGGACACCGACAGGAGGAGACAGTACTGTCTTAAGTCAGATATGCCAAAGAACATCTGTCAGAGTCCTATGGTTTCTATGTTACCTGGGTTTCAAAATCAAAGTATGGAGGAGTGTGGAAATAGCAAATTTTACTGCTCTCCAGCCTTGACCCTTGTTCTGAGCATTCTGATGCAGTCGGAGCAGCACGTTGCCATGTCCTCCTGGCAAATCCCTGACTCATGCCGTGCAAATAAGGGAACCAAATGGGAATAGGATTTAAGTTGCACAGACAGTAGCAACTTGGGGATTCATGTTTCTGAGCAGAAACAAACTTTCTAGGCAAGTGGAAGCATTGTCAGCTGGAGATGTATATATTTCTGTCTAACAACTAAACTAAAGTGACAGAATGCTGCAAAAAATGCTTATATTCCTACAGTTCGGAATGAACTTGAAGCTGGCATAAACCGTGTCCTTCCTTCCTTCACCTCCTCGACCCTGTGGCAGTGTAGAGTTAGCGTTGTCGGGAATGAAGTAGTGCAGGAAACTGAGCAAAGCTAAAGCTAATCTGGGAGGAAAAAAGGTTTATTATACCCCAGATGAGTGTGCTCACCCTGATGTTTGTTCAGGGATGACAGAGCAGGTGCAGAAGAGGAAATTTGGAGGGAATGAGATGGTCTAAAACTGCAACCTCATATGAAAAGGTTGTCATTGAAGAACACTCCCCCTGCCCTGTTCCTTAGCACTTACTTAGTTCACAGTGGTAGGCTGTGTTATGGGAATAACTTCATAAGCATTCAGTTTCATGTTTTAGCTGGATGTGAAGCATGGTATTTTCCTACTCTTGTAATTATTGTGTCTGAGAACATAGGTACATGGATTAATCTATCTATAAATAAAATGGATGTTTGCCGCACAAGGGAAAGCTTACAGCTGTTTGTATAGTCTAAATAAATAAATAAAATAACAAATAAATAACCATTATTCTTATTTTGTAAACAGAAGTCAAAGAGCAATCTGCAGAAGAGGATGCCCAAACGGAAGGAGACAGCACCAAGCAGCTAACACCAGTCCTTCAGCGCTCGGTATCGGAGGAGTCTGCGAGCTCCACTGCCTCCGTGGGTGTGGAAGCTAAAACCAGGTTAGTGAGAGAGGAGGCAGGGCTGGGAGTCGGGTACGGGGGTGCAGAGTGCCTGGGGCGCAGGCTTGGGGTGTGCTACCGGTGCTTTGAAGTGCTGGCGACGGCAGCCTGTGCTTGAGGCTGATGGCTTAATTGGCGGATGGGGAGATCGAGGTGAAAAGCACATTCCTTGAGTGTTGTCCTCAGACTACACTGGTAAACCCTTGTATTACAGCATATTAGCTGTTTAAGTTAAAACAGACATAAGTGATACGAGCTAAAACGTGATTACTGAAGCTTTCCTACTAAGAAAATGGGGTATTAGCAAATCCATATAAAGTTATTTCTGAAGTTTCTGCTTGTATGTCTATATTTTCAGGAACAAAGTAAAACAAATCTCTTGTCATTTCTGCTGTCATCTTCCTTATTTCAGAATTTGTAATACAGAAAATAATGTTTAGGGTGGTTTTTTCACTTTTTATCAATATAAATTAACCCCCAAAGCAATGAAAGTATTGTATTATTTGAGGGAAACCAAAGCACACTGTCTGCGATCACTGTTGAAACGGTATCACAGAGTTCTAGCAGAGCTTCTCTGTTGAAGCCCTGGTAACAGCTTTTAACCCAGTAGCGGGTCTCTTCTGCTGCAGAGATTGCTGTTTACCAGTTACCAGACAGTTAGAGGTGTAATTATATTTTGACAGACTTGGATAGAATTGTCATCATCATTTTACTTCCTCCTAATCCGACACAGAGTATACTTTCCATGCACAGAAACTTGCTGCATATATAATTTTCATGTTTTACGTGCTCACAAACTTCTTAGGTTTGAATAGATACTTCCCTTCCTACTGGGAATTTCTGTTAAATAGATCTTGTGTGTATACCTGAACGAAATACAAAAAAATTGCGGTTCTTCATGGAATTTTCTGAAGCTGGTATTAAATTGCAGAAAATATATAGAGGAACTTGAATTGAACAGCTGTTTTGGTTCTTTATTTGACCCTGTTTTGGATCATTTGCAAAAGTTCTAGTGCTGTTTCATCTGCTCTCTGTTCTCAAGGTTACTTTCTTGCTTTGATCATGAACAGTTGATTACAGCACTTTCCCTAGCCATAAATTTGTTTCTTAAAAGCTGGACAACAGTCTTCTAAAAAAAATTCTGCATGGTTCTGAACCAGCCCTTACTTGCCTTCAGCTTGCTCTTCCTTCCAACTTTGACTTTTGGGACAAACTTTTTAGCAGGGCCTGTTGCAATAGGACAAAGGGTAACGGCTTTAAACTAAAAGAGGGAACATTTAGACTAGATATAAGGAAGAAATCTTTTACAATGAGGGTGGTGAGACACTGGCCCAGGTTGCCCAGAGAGGTGGTAGATGCCCCATCCCTGAAAACACTCAAGGTCAGGTTTGATGGGGCTCTGAGCAACCTGATCTAGATGAAGATGTCCCTGCTTATTGCGGGGGGGTTGGACTAGATGGCCTTAAAGGTCCCTTTCAACCCAAACTATTCTATGATTCTATGACTTCGATTAGTCAAGATTGAAAGGCTGTTATGGGCCCGTTGCTTTGGCTGATCAAAGCATTGAAAAGCTAAGTGCTATTAATTTTTAATTAAACTAACAATGATCAGACCCTGTCTCTGACATTTTGGAAAGAAATGCATTAAGGAGATGTGAAACAGTTAATTGGGAGATACAGGTTCCTCTGATCCCCGGTAATTTTGCTTCCAGACTTAGATGTAGAATTGGTGTTAGTTGCAGAAGTTGTTGATGTCCTCATAACAATGGGGGAGAGCTTCTTCTGGTCTGTGACTTACAGATCAATCGTCTGTATCATTGTCTATGGTGTGCTGGCACTGCCACCGAGCTGTGCAGGGGTAGGAGGACTAGATTCTGGGTGGCTTAACTCCATTCTCTTAGCAGAAAATACAGCATGTGAAATACACAACCAAATGCCATCAGTGTGTGTAAGCGGTGGGAGGAAGTATATCAAGATTTAGGATAAGGTATGACTCTGTAGACTCTTTAAGCCTGTAACTTGGGAGAGGTAGTTTTGAAGCTGATTTCCGAATTCATCATACTCATCAGCTTAACCTCTTTTTCTAAGCTTTTCTTTTTCTGTTTTATAGTATAAGTAACTCAATCCAGTGGAAATGTTTATATATTTAGAAATAAATTTAGGTATGTGGGACATTGGAGAATTCTGGGAGTATATTATAACAGACAGTGTAGAAAATGCCTAGAACACAGAAAAGAACCAAAGCCTCCGCCAGAAGTAGCAGCAGGTGTAGGTGGAGCTACTTTTGCCATCACTTTTTCTAGAGTTGAGTATAAGTCGGTTCTGGGGTTTTGGCTTCAGTAGTGACGATAAAGGATTTAGAGAAGCACAGGACACAGGGCATAAAATGAAGTCTTGTACATGAAATAATTAAATAATTTTATACCGAAAAATAGTGATTTTTAACATAGGATATATCAGAACTAGGATGGGGATTTCAGTAGCTGAGACATTAGCCAGAGCTTGGATTGTGTGCTGTTTTTCTCTGGATCCCTCTTGGACTGAGGCTAAATGAAGAATGTTCAACAGAAAGTGAGAGAGAGAAGATGGCCAATGTTGGAACCTTTCTGAAGGGGGATGTGGGAGTCCAAGAGAACTATAAACTGCCAATGGGATAGGGGTGAGGAATTTAACAACAGATTTAGGATTGGTGTTCAGAAATCAATGTGCTAAAAACCATTAAAATAAATAGTACCTGAGCCCTGCTGGGGCAGGGAGGCTGAAGGGGTGAGGCGTGTGTGTGTGTATGCTGGGAAGGAATGAGTGAATTATTGACCACATGTGGGGAGGGGCAATAACGTCAAGCAAAGATAAACTATCAAGCCTGGCAGTGGTACAAGTAACGCTGCCAGCTCTTATATATCATGAGTGTCATGGGTTTTGGAGCCTTTTCCTTTGGTTGTTCCCTTTTTCTTTTTATAAGCCTTTTGAGAAGCTTCTGTCAGCTCAGGACTTATGGCTGAGTGGAATCCAGCTTCTTCGAAAGGAATCTGCTCCCTTGGTTTGTGCTGCCTGCAGAGAGCAGGGGAAGTGCAGCCCATGAGGCAGGCAAGCAGCCAGAAACCGGCTGCGATTTACAGCAGAGCCCACTTCTACCTTCCTCCTCTGTTTCCCACATTGTCAACTCCAAGCATTAAAAGCTAACGAGAATGGCCTAGAAACACAATTTCATAGGAGAACAAAACACCTTTTGATTCATTTTACTTTCCGTCTACTTTCAGAGACTGTAAATTGCATTAATTGCATCCTTCTGCCATAATCGTGAAGGCAGAACATTCTTAAAATAAGTAGATTTTCACACAGCTTTTTTGATTTTGGTACTTTGGTCTGCTAAATATCTGCTCTTGTTAGAGTGTCGCTGAAACTACAGAAAAGCCCTGGCAACACACCTTCCTGCTTTCCTGCTTCACTTGTAATTGGACAAAGCACATAATTTTCATTCCAGACCAATTGCACTATTCCTCCTTATTTTCTTGCTGCTGCCAAGATCAAATTTGGAGTCTGGAGATGGAGGGCTGGGGTGCTTTATCCCATTGAGAAGAAGTGGTTGGTTAACATCTGTTGACTGTGTGAGCAAAGCAAATTGTGAAAAAGTGCCAGTGAAGTTTTTTATCTTTGTTCCTTATCTTTTTCTTTCTTCTTTTTTTTTTTAATCTTCAAAGAAAGCGCATTACAAAATTTGCAACACTTAGAGCAACACTCAGTGGAAAAAGAAATTGTGTAGTGGCAGAGAGATTAGATAATCTGGACAGAATAACACTGCAGTGATGGCAGGAGAAGCTAGATCTTTAGGCAGGAGGGAGTTAGATAAAATATTTAGTATTAAAAATATGTTTAGAAAATTCTTAAAGTTGCCAAGTCAAGCACATATTTTAGGAGGTACCAGTATTAAGATCAATTTTGAAACTTCTTTCCATGCACGTGTATTATGATACAGTTTGTAGTTTCATGTGAATTTTTTCCTACAAGAATTCTTTCTGGAGAGAATGGACCTTATGCACAAAATGGGGCTCTTGAAATCACTGCAGAGTTTTGCTTTTACGTTTTCAGATCTAGGTCCATGTAAGCATTTACATTGTATTCCTGTGAGGACAGTGATTGACTTCTGCATCTGTGAAGTGGAGATAGCTTTCCTTCGTATTACAAAAATAAATTATTTAATAATAGTGAAATAACATTTCAGCCTTATATCAATGAGCAGTCTAGCCCAGAGTGAAATTACTGATTTGGCTCACAGGGCATAATTTTAATGTTGTCAGTAGGTAAAGACTGAGACCACACACTGAAAAAAGTCAAATATTTACTGGTTGCCCATCCTGTCTGTTCATGCATTGACTAGGGAAATGGCCTCAAGAAGGATTTTAGGATGGATCGTTGTTAAAGTGGATCATTGTAGCGAAGCTATGCAGGGGGAAAATTAGAAGGGCCAAAGCTCAATCAGAACTCAGCTTCGCCACTGCAGTTAAAGATAAGAAGAAGACTGAGTATATCAATAGAAAAAGGAGGACAGGGAAAATGTAGGCCCACTGATGAATGAGATGGGTGCCCTTGTGGTGGAAGATATAGAGAAGGCAGAGTTACTGAATGCCTTCTTTTCTTTGGTCTTCACTGCTAAAGCTGTCCCTCACAAATCCCAAACCCTGGCGGCAAGGGGGAAGGTCTGGAGAGAGGAAGATTTTCCGTCAGTTGAGGAGGACTGGGTCAGAGACCACTTGGCCAAGTTGGACATCCATAAGTCCATGAGCCGTGACGGGATGCACCCGTGAGTGCTGAGAGAGCTGGCAGATGTTATTGCTAGACCACTCTCCATCGTCTTTGAAAGGTCATGGGGAACAGGAGAGGTGCCTGAGGACTGGAGGAAGGACGATATCACTCCAATCTTCAAAAAAGGCAAGAAGGAGGACCCAGGGAACTACAGGCTGGTTAGTCTCACCTCTGTCCCTGGGAACGTAATGGAGCGAC